CAGGAAGCAAGAGGAGTAATGTCAAAAAAGAAAAAAAAAAAAGCGGGGGGCACCTACTCACCATTGTCAGTGTCGCAGAAATAAAGGCCCAGCCCCAGCAGCCTTCCTGTTCAAGAGGCACGGACTGTGGCATGTGGCTTCTCCTGGGCTCGGTGGGCAGGGGGAAAGCACTGCTATTAGTGATCAAATCGGATTCGTCCCATTTTTCTTCAGCAGAAAGAACGGGAAAGTGCTGGGTAGGCAAGCGACACTGTGCCTGTTCATCTGCTATGTTAAATGAACCACCGTGGAGCTATTTTCCTCCAACCCTTCAAGCTGTTAAGATTCTGCAGGCTTTTTCATTTTTCTCTCTATACTTTAATCATTAAGCCTTTTCCTTCAGAGTTTTTTTCTTCTGAAAATTGCCTTTTGAGGCATTACTTTCTCTGCCAAAAGGTTTCTTTCATTGACTTATTTACATGCTCACTTAATTTCTGCATTCTAATCCTTTTCAGAAGCACGGAGACATCACATTTTGAAGAGAAACAAGTTTATTTTGCTACTTCCTTTCACCTCTTCATATTTACTTCTGTTTTCAACTGTTTTAGGAGCCTCAGAGGTCAAGAGAAGAATGCCTTCTGCTCTCATACTTGCCTGGCAGCATTTCACAGGTGGTAAATGTCCTCCAGCTGCCCTTCCCTTCATGGTTAATCAGAGAATGGAGGTTATAGTAAGACCAAGAAGGTTAAGGGCCGAGCAGTCCTGGTAGTATCACGATGCCCTCTATTAACTAGTTTATATTAAATTCTTTGCATACTTTTCCTGGCAGTTGTCAGGAAGTCCCAGAACACAATGTATTTCCCACTTCATTCCATCTTTTCCAACATCGTTCACAGAAGCAAAGGAACTGGGTTTCCATGGTAACACAAGTGTGACAGTTGAGGGTATCTGGGCATAGGTGAGATAACTGTCAGATTCCATGGGGAGAGAAAAAATGAAGTTTTTCTTTCTTGCCTGTTTGTTTTTTTTTTTCCTCTCAGCCATGTATTCCTGAAGCTAAAGCGACACTGACATGTGAGTGCGCAGTGTTAAGTTTCCACCATCATACAGATTTACAGCTCTCAGGGAAAATTCAATTTCACTTTATCTCATTTTTTTTTTAAGATTTATTTATTTATTTGTGCATACAGAACTGGGGTACAGGCCAGAGGCTCAGGGGCGGTGAGAGGCTTCACCAGAGACAGAGTGGGGAGCAGAACAGGCAGATCTACGAAGTACACTATTGAGGGAAGCAGCGGGCGGGTCAGGAGAGGTCTGGCTCGCCCTGTGGTCTCCTCGGGGGCAGGCGGGGAATCGAACTCATGCGGAAGTGGCTTCAGATTCTCAGTGCTGTGCTTTAACCCGCTGTGCCACCAGGGAGGGCCACTTTATCTCATTTTTATTTTGGTTTTTTCCACACACACACACACACACACAAAGAATAGACACATAAGTTTTTAGTTGTAAAATCCCTGTTGGAATAGATAGTTCATGCTGGTAAGAATAAACATGATCAGGAGACACATTTCTCAGCCACATCTTCAAAATTCTCTATATATCCTGATGTCTTATCATAATTATTATTATTATTATTATTATTGATGGCTTTAGGCGACAACACCGTAGAGGTTTCGGGTGAACTGTTTCTGCATATATCACCCATGCCCACCACCTAAAATCCAGTGACCATCCCACCACCTACCAGTCAGCCCTTTCTGCCTAATCCCTGCACCCCCCCCCCCCGAAACCACCCTTGTTTGGCATCCTTACCAGCAGCAGCTAATTCTTCAGCCAGCATTTTACATCCAAGCTCAAATCAGGTTAGTGCTCTCACCCAAGACGGAAGAGGTGAGAAAATCTACTTCTAATTAGCATGTTTCTTTTGCCTTTTGATGGTTTCAAACGTTGACAGCATTGAGAATGGAAGCTGAGGTCTGTGAATACGAGAAATATAAATGAAGGTCAACTGTGCCCACAGTTGTAGACACTCTATCTACTACTTCTTACCAAGAAAGTCAGCAGGGAAGACAGGTCAGGGAGAGTAGCCTGGAAAAGGTCAAAAAGCTCTTATACTTCCTACTTTGCTAAGAAGAATGACTAGAGAACCCACTTGGTTTTTTGTTTTTATTTTTGTTTTTTATAATGTCTGTCATATGCATTCCAATCCAAAGGTTCTCAACTTCTAGGATCCCAGAAAGGAAAACACTTTAAGGCTGCCTTTGACACCCACAACACCAAACCAAATTTCTAAGACAAAAAAAAATAAGAAGTCACTGGGTTTTTATTTTTGCAAAATGAATAGATTTTTCATTTGCACTGTAAGACAAGTGCTATATAGGTTATAATGATCTAATTAAAAGAGGATGTTTCTCGCTCTATTTTAACCCCCCAGAAGCCTAAGAACATCTTACCACCACAATGCACAATTTGGATTTTAAGTGACTGTCTTTCCTCTCCAAAATGTAGCTGCTATTGAAATAACAAATAAGTATATGCGACTTCTAAAAAAAAAACAAACGAACTCTGTTCACCTATAACACCCTCTTCAAACATTTCTGCAAGAGATGCTCCAGCATGAAGCACTCCTGTGTGTTTTGTAAAATTTAACTCGCTTTTTATATTATAGTTTAGGATGAGACACTGGGGTCTCTTTGGCTTCAATTCAGTTATAACATCCCTCTGGCTCCTTCTTCTTTAGCTAACTGCAGTTACAGCTAATTCTGATAGCTCAGTGATAGCCCCTCATGTTTTGATATGTAATTAAGAAATAACTACTGAGTAATATTTACCATGCATTTTGACAAGACACTTGCCCTTAATTATTTTAAGCAAAACCGTGGTTCTACATTACAGCAAGAAAATGCAAAGTGTAAGTTTCTACTGATAAAATGAAGCCATGAGGTAGTAGGACACTCCCAAATCTGAGCATATCTTTATAGGAATTTAATCATTAACAAGATGGCAAAAGAACACTTGGTTTTTCAAGGAATTCAGTCCACAATTCCTCTCTATATGACCTTGTAGGGGAGAGAAAGGGTGAAGATACACACACACCCCACCTCATGATCAGATATTAGAGCAATCAAAATACTAGTACCAAGAAATGTGAGAAAGCCATAGTTGGATGTCGTTGGCTGAACTAGTTCTAGAAGTATTCCGTTTAAGGAAAGTAAATCTAACCACCAGTGATTGTACAAAAAAAAAAGAAAAAAAAATTCACTGAGTATTTGAAATATAACTTCTAAGTATGCATGGGAGAGTGTGCAACTAAGATCCTAGGCTACAAGAGGCTCCGCTTTTAACTTAGTAGTTGAAAAGAAATGTTTTGGGCACGCGTGCGGGGCGGGTGCAACTGCTGCAGTGCATCTCTCTAAGCGCCAGAAATCTCTCATCCTCAAGACAAAAGTTCCCGTGTTCTCGATTCATCCCACGATTCCTCCCAGGTCCCTCGGCACCATTTCCACGTCCACACTCTAAAACAGAATGCCAGGGAGACCACAGTAAAAGCTCCCTCACTCTCGCCTGCAACACATCCTGTTCCTTTGCCAGAACCCGGGCCGGCGAGCGACTCCTCGAGCGCTGCGCCCTCCCAGACCCCACCAACCGCGGCCCTGTCTCCATACCACCCGGCCTCGGTGGCAAGGGCATCGCGAGTCCTGGTTGGCGCACACCGAGCGTACGTCATCGGCCAGCTCACCTACGATTGGTTGGCAGAGCGTGCGCCCGGCCACAAAGCCCCGCCCCTCCCGGCGGTAGGTGGGTTGGCAGATCTTGGCACTGGGTCTTCCCCCATTGGCTGATGAGTGGGCATCACGTGGCATGAAGCCGCGCTCTATTGGGCGAGAATCCTACCACGGAGTGCAGAGTCGCGGCCTGGTAGGTTGAGACGAAGCCCAGTTGCTGCTAGGTACCCCAGCCGGCTGTTGCTATGAGCTGTCCCCGGGCCTCCAGACTGCGACTCGGGGCTCAGCGCGCCCGCTTTTCCAAGCTCCCGCAGCGACGGGGCGTGGGAACAGGCAGAGCGGGCCTGCGGCGGGGCCCAGGGGGCGGGGCCCGGGGCGGGGCCAGGGCGACGTCCTGAGGCGTCGCCCCGCCGTCCCGCCACCGCGCCCTCAGGGCCCTGACGCTTGAAGCCCAGCTGCCTCTCGTTGTTTACCCCAAATAAAACCAAACCCTCAGGAGGGCGAGCCGACCGGCCTGGGAGGTCGGCCATGGCTCCCTCTGTCCCTCCCCCCTCAGGCGCTCATTCTTTGCCTCGGGTGAAGGCCCGAGGGTGCTCCGTCCCCTCCAACATCGGCAGAACTCGCCGACCCGCGGCGCATGCTCGCCACCACGCAGGCCCTGGCACGCGACGGCGCGAGCGGGGTGGGGTGCCGTCGGGCGAGCCAGGCGGTTGTTTATCGCAGCGCGGGCCGAGGCTTCCGCGCGGCGCAGAGCCACCTGGGAGCGCGCGCGTCTGTCGCCTAGGCGACGGCAAGCAGGGGCGTGGTCTAGCCGCCGGGCCCCGCC